TCTTACATTAACTATCAAGGGGGCACCCTTTCCATGACCATATGCTTTCAGATGTTGATGTTGGACCTATTCTTCTAGGCTCATTCACATTGAGTTTGTCTTGTTGCCTGTCAAGTGTCAAGAGCTATGAACTTCGTGGCGGACCACCTCTCTTGGCTGGACCATGTTCTACCCACACAGTGGTCTCTCCACCCCAGGCCATTTGTTGGATTTGCTCTTGGATTGGGCAAACCCCTCATAGATAGCTTTGCAAATCTTCTCGACTCCAAGCTTCTTCTCTTTTGGTCTCTTGTTCTTCATACTTTGGTTGTGGCTGTCTATGCTGTCAGCTAAGACTGGCCTCACCGGTTTTTTCTATATGCCTATCCTTCTCTTCACCTCCTCACTCAGGTTCTTAACTCAATAAGTGACACTTCTTCTCAAGTCCTACTGTGGTGCTTCTGTGGCTAGTTCTGCCTTGTTTTCCTCTGCTTCTTCACTTTGTGTCCAGTCTCCTTCTCTTTATCTAATGTTTCTTTACTCTTGCTTCAACCTCACATGTCCCCTTTTCATCAATGGATGTTGTCCCTCCATCTTCACATGTGGGATTTGTCTGGTCCATCATATGTTTGACTAATTTTGATTGTGTAACCTTCTTCTTGTCACAGTCTTATGGCTCTTCCACTTTGTCTAACAATGAATGTGGTGGGTTTTTAGTCTTTGGTCCATCAACCACTCCTTTTCTCTTGGCCATCCTATTATGAACCACTTTTCTGTCTTTTTTTTCATTGGATGTTCGACTGTGGTTTGTTGTTCTCCACCTTTGCTGGTTATCAAGTGGTGTTGTCCCTTACATGTTGCTTTTCATGGTACTATAGGGTTTTTCTTTCCCTGTCTTCTTCACTCTTTTCCACCCTTTCCTTCTTAACTAACCTCCTCATCTGACTCCCATGCCTAACTGGGTCCTTAGTGTTGTTTTGCATGCTCCATTTTAGCCATTGGCTTCTTGCTCTTAGTACTCTCTTTTTCTCCTTCTTCTCACCTGTGGTCAACATCTTTTGAATGTGTATGTTATTGATGCTTCTCACAACCTCTTTTACCATGGTTATATACTCCTCTGCCTGAATCAACTCCTGTGTCCTGTTTGGGCTGTTCATTGTTACTAATTACAGAAATCTCCTTTTTAGGGTCTCTGTCATCATCTGTTTCTACCCTGGGACCCCTCTTTTTCTACCATTACTGAATGGGTCAATCATATGTTTTGGTTGGTATATTCTTCCCAGGATATGGCTGTTTGCAGGCTATTTTGCATTTATTTGTGACCGATTCATCAACCTTTTCATTCTCTTGCTTCCCAGTTATGGTGCAGAATAACTAACATCTTTAAAAAAGAAAAATTTCTCTCTCTTAGCATTGTGTCTAAAATGTTAAGTATACATGACCCTAAAATATAGATGGCAAGTGTACAGAATGAATTACTACAAAAAGAGAATTATGTAAAAATAATGCAATACAACAGAATAAACAATTGAAATGTTATGCAAAAGTTTATTCAAAGAAAGAGAACATATACAATTAATGTAGCTCAGCATAGATAGTTAAACTTCATTAGTGCATTTATTAAAAAAAGAAATATCATTGCTCAGGGTGAAGCGGCTGCACCTGGGAGCAGATGCTACACTTTGGAATAGTCTGATGATAAATTGGCAGATAAGGAAAAATAAACCTCATTTCATCAACAGCTGAGTCTAATACACTGAAAATTTAACGAACGATGTGTCTCAGACATTAATGATAAGATTTATGAATGCCAGAAATTCAAATATAAAATTCATGTTTAAAGCTAACCAAATTGTGCAGATTTGGAAAGTAATATTGCACTTAAATATGTTAGAACAACTGTCTATCAGTAACAAAGATTTATAAACTATATGAAAAATTACAGATGTCTTGTTACTGTTAAACGTTCTCGTAAAAGGGATTGTAACAAATAGTGTTGTCTGTGGGATCAACCTGAAAGTGACTGGTGTTATCTAACTATAATTGTGGGAAAAAAGACCTGTGATATGGATCCAATTTCTCTTAAGTAGTTGTTATGCTTAGTCACCAAGTTGCAGTAGGCACCCCTACATTTTTTGATAGCACCTTCAGCAGATGCCTGTTAGTATAAAACCCCTATATTTATTATATAACTTCTCTGTACCTTGTTTCAGTTGAATAAGATTTTATATAGATATTTATTTAACAGAGTAGTGTAGCCAAGCTGGCCCATTTTATTATACCACAGGTAATGGAATGTCATGGAAAATAAGTTGCAAAGGTAATTTAATTGAATAAACTTTGGAATGGCAGGAAATCTGTCTTAGCTACAGTATTTCTGAAAAGGATTTTGAGTTTTAACCACTTCAGACATTTAGACCATTGAAATAAAATAACACTAAGTAGTAATAGTAATAATAAAAATAATGACCAGTAAATGAAAAAAGAAACAAAAAATACAGTTACATAAGGTAACAAAGCTGAGATTGGTTGGATTGGATTAAAGAATGAGAAATAAAAGTATACTACACTATACTGTGTGTGTTGCATTTTAAATTTGTAAAACTGGGGCCAAAAAAAATACAAACTATTCCTGGTTGATACAACAAACATCAAATGGTTTAAACTTTGTAAAATAGTAGGTAGCATTTTACATATGCATAATATTTTTAAACCAAAAATAACATTTATTGTTAGCATTTTTTTTTTACAATTATAAAATGTCACAGAAGCAAATATTCTACATTCCCAGTTTGCCCCTGAAGAAGAAAGGTCCACCTTTCGAAAGCACTTGGGTTAAAGGGATTTTATCATCTTGTATCAAGACTTCTTGAACCTACATATTTTTCTGACATCATGAATATTCTACATATATGTAGTGTTCCAATTTACATTTACCAGCTGTACAATGTGCATTCTCTATTCCAACTAAATGCACATGTTAGATCATTTAATATATGTAAAATTGAATTTGTATGTGATGGCAGGAAGGGTGGAGAAGTGTTTTGTCATATTTAGTTCATAGCAAAACAATTTTGCCTTCTTTAACTTGTGGGTATGGTCTTGTATATTTGAAACCTGTCTCAACTGCATGATGGTTACTGTATTTATACTATCCATTGACTTTGTAAAGAGTAGTTATATTAGAGTTTCACTGCACATTTCTTTCCATAGATGGCTGTGCATGTTCAATAGTTGTAGAATATTTAATATGAACTTAAAAGATTATAGTAATACCTCCATTTAATAATTATTGAGCAGAGCAACTGGGCTTGAGTGAATTCTGGTACTTCCAGAAAACCAAATGTGTAATAAGATTGAGTTGTAAGTTAATTGTTGCTTTAGAAAGTGGGAAAGTTCATCCTATAAAGCCCTGGAATTTTGTTTTTGGTCAAGTTTTCTAATACTAAATATATCCTGTAACCTTATTTTTTTGATAAAATTGTGTTTCTTCATTAGCATTCTGTAGTATCGTTAAACTTGATTGCAAGGTGAAAATTATAATAAGATATTTAGTTTCAGGACAGCTTATGTTTTTTCCACAAGTGGTATTTAGGAGAACTTACAAATAGATCTTCAGTTTAGAAGTATTTGTTATATCCACGTTTCATAAATAACATTTTCATTTCTGTTCACTAGATGGAAGCACAATTTGTTTTATATAATGATCGTATGTGACTTTTCATTGCACAAACATGATATCTGCCAAAACAGTTTCAGTAAGAATAAATAAAGAATAGTGTAAATTAATTTTCAAGGTATAAAGGAGATCAAGTATCTATGCAACTGACAGATCTGTGTACATGTTATTAATGTGTGGGTTTAAAAATGCCAGTTTCTTAATTTTCAAAACAATACAATATATACCAGTTTACTCTTCACGTTTTCAGTGGACTGAATCTGGCAGCTTGTGTGTATATGCGTGATATCATACTTCTTGGCCTGGGATCTATATGATATCCTCTCTGTTAATTTACATGACCCTAGTAGTTGGTGGAGTCAACTGTATGCACATGCTATGAGTAATGGTGAAGTTGGAAAGTGTGGGTTCTGTAAATATCCTCATAACATCGGTCCAGTGCTTTGGGGTACTTGTACTGTCCTGGAAGAACCATTCCAGCTTCATTGGCCCCAGTGTAATCCAAAATTAACTGACAAAACTGATATGATGTTAACAAGATATACTACCAGTTAATTATAAAAATAGAACAAATGTTCACTTATCAACCTACTTCAATGAAATTGTTTAAATAAAATTAGGGAAAAACAAGAAATACAGATTTTTGTACAAAATTGAGAATGATGTCGGGATGGCAATGCCTAAAAGTACAGAAGTAAGGTAGGGATGAATACACAAAACCATGCAAAAATCCCTACATAAGTAGCCAGTAAGTACTTAGTCAATCTTACAAGCTTATTGTTATTAGCCACTGTAAGACTGTATGGCACTATTCAGCTTAAATACTTTTATTAAAACCTGAAGCCCTCCCAGTGGTGCAGTGGTATGTCTTTGGACTTATAACCAGGTTTCGATACTCTTGGTGGGCAATGCACAGCCTTTTGTGTATCTTTGTGCTTAACTTCAGTCAAACCTTAATTCATGCAACTGACAGGAATTCAACATTTAGTTGTAGAATAAAGGTACTCTTGGAAAGATTTGGCTACTTGTGTAGTGATTTTTGCATGGTTTTGTGTATTCATCTCTACCTTGTTTCTGTATATTTTGGAGTTGCCATCCCTATATCATACTTAATTTTTTCTAATTTTTTTATTTAGTACTTGTATTCATATAAAATGCTTGGGTCTGAGTAATTTATGGTTGAATGAACCACATCATCACCATATCTTCTTGTGCATTAGACAGTTTATATAATTTAATAATGTTTTCTCCATGTATATTTGTTTTATAAAGTTCAATGCATTCCTAAGAAAGTATTAAGGTATTGTACTTGTTCAACTTTGGAAAATCATCTCTTGTACAGCCACATCACTGGATCGAGCACAGAAACAACTTGGAACAAAAACCGACAGCTCATCATTCCGGGATAGAATGTGAGTTTATGGGAAAAGTTTTCATTGGAATGTCTACGCAGTATAATGTGGTCATTTTTTTGTAATGTAAAATTTTAAAAATATAAGTTGTTTTCTTCTGTTTGTGTGAAAATTATTCAATATAAGCCATCAACTTGAAATATTAAATTACATATAACTTCTTGGATAATTAAAATTTAAAATCATGAGTATTTTCTTTTTTCAACTTACATGTGTTCATCATGTATTGATTGGTTAAGTATTGTTACGTATCTGCTTGCTTGTTAATTTCCGGTATAAATTCTTTCTGAGGAACTTCAGCAATACAAGTCCCTTCTTGATTAAGCCAGTTTATTCTTTCTCGATACAAACTTTTAGTACACAGTAATTCCACAGTCAGTACTTTTCTTGTCACTTTAAACTTAACAAATTTTATAATACATGCTATAAATCACAGCGATTCACAATTTCGATAACCTTGCTCTCTACGAGGGCAAAACACATACTAGCTCGAAACAGAATTGTAATTTACCTGAAACTCACAGTGACTATTGTTCACTTTCTCATCCCCTGGATTTTCTCTGCCAGGCTTATATACTAAGAAAGAGGCATCTCCAAAATTTGCGAAGTTCCCCGATAATTCGTGACTTCCACTGTCATAACAATATTTAGAGGAACATGGAATATGAAAGCATTACACTTAATTGCTAAGGCGGGAGCTCAAAAATAAGAATTTATACTTATAATTGTACACATTATTAATGGTATATAGCATATTAATGTACTTAATTGCTAAGGCGGGAGCTCAAAAATAAGAATTTATACTTATAATTGTACACATTATTAATGGTATATAGCATATTAATGTACAAAGCATTTTTGCTGAACCAGGAGTTTCTTTGACAAACTGTGAATTTCACTGTGCTGGATGCATAAATGCAATGCTGAGGATGTATCTCAAAAACTTGTCATTTTCAATGCAGTTCCAAGAATTTATACTTACTTAATTTTGTTATTGTCTGAGATTTATCTGGATATTTATTATAGAAGTTGAAGGATTTTAAAATGAATTCAGAATGCCAATTTCAGAAATCACCATATTATTCTTTGGATGAAAAAAAAAGTGGTCTGATTTAAGCCTGACGTTCTTAGTTGTTACATGACTGCTCTTTGTTTTGATGGTAACCTGGCACAAAGTTTGTGCACATCTGAAAATATGCATAGGAAAGAAATGCTATATAAAGCCATCCACCATTAGAGCTTGGCAATTTAATAAGTTACCTATGAGCAGAGATTATATTGATTTATGTCATGAAAGCTAATTGTTTAATCAAAATTCTGATATTAGTTATCAAGTAAATAATAAGCTAGTCAAAATTATTGTTTTTTATTATTATTTTTGTTTTCAATTATTCCAGTAATCAGTCAATCAAAAGTACAATTAAATCAATTGTCAGAAAAGTAATCAACTAATTGCAATTAGGATTACTGATTATTATTATTGTTGTGTGATTTATTCTAGCTATCCAAGTAATTGAAATATTGCTGCAAAATATTACTTTCCCCTCTTTGTTAGGACAAAGTTACCAAGGCTAAATGTCATTGTTATTAATCTTGAACTGCAGAATAGTGGGATGACAACTGGTTGACTCTACCCACTTTCAACTTTTTTTTGTTTTGAACTGTTTATTAGAAAGGGACAACTATGTGGCAACACATGCTGCCAACTTTTTTTATTCTTTTTAAACTGTTGACTAGATTTTATTTTTTGGCCTGAATGAACCACGGTTTGAGGAACACTACTAATCAATTATTCAAATGTAATCAATTAATGGGCTGTCGATTAATTGGTTAGCAAGTACCACTTATCACCTAGCTCTGTCCACCATAGGTACTGATCAGATTAATGTAGTGAAAGTTAACATTATGAGAAATTATTTAGTAGTTTTTATTTGTCACAGTTTTTCTTAGCTAATATTAATTTATTACATTTCATTATAAATTTCTTTGTTTGAACAAGGCTTTGTTAAATTTTATTCATTACTGATTATCAGTGAAATGCAATGTCTGTTACTGAACTATTTGAAATATATCGTGCAAGCCTATATGTTTGCAGTTATTTTTGTTCAGGTATCACAAACATTAGTTGTCATAACAAGTTTCATAAATTTTGTGTCTAATAGGAGTGAAATGTTTGATTTATTTGATGAAACACAGTATTATGCTAAATTGATGTTAAAAGCATTGAAACAGTAAAAAAAAACAAACAACAAGATTAACATTGATTTATGAAAGTTACATTTAGTTGATAGTTGAATAAATGCTTCTATAAAAGCCCAAATTACATAATTTCTTAGTAGTTTGTTTTAAATGGCATTAATGTACTTTTATAACCTGTAAGTAAAAATTATTATAAGTTTTAAGCAATTGTGGAAATATATACTCAACTTTTATTTACATGTAGAATATCAGGAGAAAGAAAGCTTTTTTTTTAATCAGATGGTCCTGCTTGTTTTCTGTTACCCATTTTTTTGAATACTTTCAGTCATGCAACACAACAGTTGGCAAATGAAACAGTCAGTGATACCACTATTTGTCTCAAACAGTTATCAGAGCTGGTGGAAAAGGGAAATAAGGTAGATATTTTTGAATTCTTAATCTAGTAATTGATTAAGTTCCTTTTAAATTTTGTTTAGAATTGAGGTATGTAAAGAAAAAAATTGTAGTAAAATGAGAATTGATAAAAAGACATGTTTTTCAAGTGAAAACTTATATTGTTACATTGTATAATTATCCTTTAAACAGCATACCTGGATTTATTGTAAAAGAATTAATGATACCATTTGAATACTTTGTTTACAGCAACAGAAACTACAGTTGGAAAGATTAAAAAATGAATTTAAAGACACAGTTCAAAGATATAGCTCTGTACAGAAGGTAAGTTTCAGTATTTATTTTTAAGTATATTAAGGTTTGTAGATATAACAAAGAGTTTTTTTTAAACTGATGATAATTTTATAGCCAGGTTTGATGGGTAGCAGTTATCAGCCGTACAGTCTTTCTTCAAGTGTTTGTATGTAACAAATGCTAAGTTAAAAACATCTAATGGTTTATTTTTAAATTGAAAAAAATCCATCTTCTGTAGAAATCAGAAATAATACAAAAGTTTTACATTTAACTGGTAGCACAACCTGTTACAGAGTAGTAGATTGCACTGACAGTATTAATGTTTAATCCTTTGGTACCCACCCGATTCTACCCATTGCATGAGGACAAAATTACACTAGTCTATTAAATAAAAATGTATATAAAATAAGCTTCTAGTATTTTAATACTCCAGAATTCAAAGTTATTCAATAACAAAAAGTTTCATTTCTCTGCAAGGAAACCTGAAATAGTTTTGAACAAAATGGTGCCAGTTTAAACCTTGTTACTTCAATAGAAGTGTAGTTGCATTTATTCTAAACTTGTAATGAAAGATTTTTTTTTCTGATCTTTTCAACTTTATAAGCTGATGTGACTTGTGTAGAGATCAGAATAAAGTAATACAAAATTGGCTTAGTGATATGTTGCTAGAAGAAAAGATGTTGAAAGTCTTCATAAAGCTTATAATAAATTATTATTAAATTTCTAATAAGGCATTATGATTTTTCCTAATATATCAGATCCTTAGGGAACTGTACAAATATGAGCTGTACATGTATATATGTATAGAGAGATTAGCACGATTCACTGGAAAGATACGTAGCAGTATAAGGTAGAGTGAGTGGAACCCAACACTTTAATTTTAGCTGTAGTTTCCAATACATTAGGTGTGTAAATATTTAGCTGATTTTTTCTCTATTAAATATTTATATACATGTTTATAGATTCAAGCACAGCAAGTTTTGTTTTCATTTTAAACACCATTGCCATGGTCCAAATTGGATTTTATTTTCACAGCCAAAGATCTTTAATTTTCAACATAATATACCGTGGTTCAAAGTGAATTTTGTTAAATTGTTCTTTTGTAGAAATATCCTCCTGCATTTTACAGTGTAACATTAAATTTTAATACTGAAAGTCATATAGGGATGATTTGTGTATAGCTGTATCAGCCCTATATTCTTGTTTGCATTGTTTTTGGCACTGCCATCTCTACATCATCTTACATTTACAAAATGTTTGTATTGCTTGTAAATATTAAACAACAGACATTAGTAACTGAGGCCAAAGAATACCAATAATCTATGTATATATTTACTACGCTGTTAAAGGTCTACCTTTCCTATAATTCTGAATATTAAACAACAGAAAATAATATTATATGAGGCCAAAGCAAAACAGTAATCTACACATATATTTACTACACTAGATCTACCATTCTTACAATTATAAATATTAAACAACAGGAAATAGTAGTAAATGAGGCCAAAGAATAATAACACTGGTCAACAAAATCGAACTTTTTTCTCTCATTAAAGATGTAAACACATTTTTCTAGACCAGTTTTGCATACTCATTCCAAATCTGTTTTCTTCTAGCACATCTAATTATCAAAATGACTAGTGTTAATTTCAGCACAATTTAGGTAATAATCGCACATTAGGCTACTTAACATTACAACTTCATTCTTTTTTTCAGTATAATTACCATAAACGTTATACACGCCATACAAATGGTTAAATTTATACAGTACATATTTATGAAAAAAGAAATGTACAACAACTTAAAAACATTGCGAGTATGAATTTCTTTTGTGAATTTTGTCTGGATTGTCAACATCCAGCAGTAGTCTGCCAGCATACTTTCATTCCAGAAACCTTGGTAACGATTTTCCATTGCCTGAATGTCTTGATGGAAGCATTTTCCCTGCTTGCCACTCACCTCACCAAGGTTTTCAGGAAAGAAATCTAGATGAGAATGTAAAAAATGTAATTTCAAGGACATGTGACAGCCCATTTTTTGATGTGCATCAAGCAGTTTCTAGACTCCATCTTTATATGCGAAAGACTTGTGGTTACCTAAGAAGTTTCCAAAAATCCACATGAAAGCCTGCTATGCTTTTAGTCTAAGACATTGAGGTTTTCTTCAAAGTCTTAATCCTGCAAAACCTTCCTGATATTTGGAAATTTCTCAACAAGGTATTGAAACCCTCTCCAATTAATCTTACCCATCACTTTTACAAAACTCTTCATTAAACCAAACTTAATGTGGAGAAGTGGCAGGAAAATCTTCTTTGGATCAATTAAAGGAACACTGGACATTGCTCATTCCTGGCTCATATATGCTTCTTTGATGCCAGACATGTCTGATTTAATGATCCACAGTAGCACAACTGCCCCATAGTCATAGGAAACAACAGTATTTTGTTAACTCTCCTTGCATGTCCATTAACATACCAATGAATTTGAGATCACCACAGATATTCCATTGAGAAGTGCTGTATTGGATTGCTTCGAGTAGTATACTCATGTTATTGTACGTCTCCTTTAGATGAATGAAATGGGCATTTGGGATGCACGGTTTTAAGTTCCCATTATGCATGGTTATTTTTTTTATTCAATGCAAAATATTATTGGCTAAAAAACATAGTTCTCTTTCAAATCTGATCGCTCTCATCACAAAAACTTGATGTGCTAGAGGAAAACCAAAAACAGATTTGGAATCAGTGTCCCAACAGCTATCTTGCCCACCTATAATTATATTTGATGAAAATGACTTGTTGGCCATTGTGATAATCTACAATGATAAAGGTCTACCACTCCTAATATTATGAATATTAAGCAACAGAGAAGAGTAAATAGTCTAAATAATAATTTGATTTTTCACATAAAAATTGAAATGAATTGCAAGTTTTGATTCTAGCTTGTTTTTGGCATGCTCCCGAAGAAATTATTAATGTTTGTGAATTTTCTGAACTTTTTATGAGCTAGTACAGCAGTGATAGACCAATAGGAGGAAAGTAATAGTAGTTTTTAACAAAACAGCATTTGTCTTTGTAACTTAAAAAAAAAGTGTAGCTTTATAAATTTTAAGCCAGCTACTTTTTCCAATTCTGGTTCTGGTGTGATGTAACTGCCCAAAAGTCATAGGCTACTTATCCAAACAGTTGTAGGACAACTGCCCCCCCCCCCCCACTCTTAGCCATATCTTCTTATATTAACTCTCTCAACACAGGCTTGGTCAATTTGACTGACCACATAACCTCTTTGTACTCGTTTAAAGCCTTTATAGATTTAATACTTCTAACTTTCAATATAGTGAGTATATCTTCACAAAATTTGGCAGTCTTTTAGTTCATATTATAAGTCTTTTACATACAAAAAATCATATTTTTTAGTGAATTATCTTTAATAAAATAAAAAAGATTTGTCCATTAATATATTGAGTATTTGTTTTGAATAGTTTGTGTGCAAAGTAATTTTCATGTTAAATTTAAAAATACTTTTCCTCATCTCAAAAATCTCAAATTTCCTTTATGTAATCCCCAAAACCTTCTAAATGCATTTCAAACGTTTTTTCAGTAAAACTTTATAGTTTGTATTATTTTCTCTACCCTGTCTCAAAACTGGATTGGTCAATTTGACCAACCTCGTAACCACCAAAAATAAAAATAAACTTAAATTACCATTTTTTTCTTTCTAGAATGACTTCAAATTGTAACAAGAAACTACATTAGTTTATCCTAAGTAGCTCTAAGTTTGTAACAGTATACATCTATTTATAACTAAATTTATTATTTTATTGCCCTTTGAACCCTGTATAACTACTGTCCGTGCCATTATAAGTTGTAAATCACTCATGTAAATCACGTGCAGCTCATGTTAAGCTATCGAAATTAAATTACCCACGAGCTGCTCCCATGCGTGACTCGTGAACCATTTTATTTATATTATTATTATTATTACTAATTGTTCTTAATCTAGTCTTAAATAACTTAAAAAGATCCATATTTTTAGATTTTAGTTACTTTTAGAATAATAAATAAAGAATAAATATGAAAAACAAGAAATAAAGTAATAACCCATTCTTCTTTTTCTTTCTCTTGGGATTGCAACGAGAGTTAACCCTAATTTTATATACTATACATAATAATGCACTTAATAATTTTTATTTAATTAAATAATGCACCAAAGAATATAGACTAATAACATGCAAAAAGTAGACAAATTTGCTTACCTCTCAAAATTTTCCTGGCTTTCTAACTATGCAACAGGTACAATTACAAATTCATCCAAGCTAGTCGTTAACTTTCCCATGGGAATGAATCTTGTACTGTGAGTGAAATTGATGATATTCTGTTTAGAATACAACTTTATACAATACATTATTTGATTGATGAAATTACCTATAATCAATAGAAAGTCAAGGTTTTCATCCATCAAATAATGTATAATAAAACGTAAAGGAGAACTATCAATGAATTGTGAAAGAGAGGATGTGACAGGTGGGTGTAGCAGGAGAGGTCTGATTTTCTATTGAATAGCTCTGTAACAAAACAAAATTGAAGGCTATAAAAATTATAGTTTGTTTGAGCAATAACGATTTTATAGAGAGTATTATATGTTTAATTTTGTACTTTTTTTGGGGGTGGTGGATAAAATAGGGATGATGACATGCTAAGCCAAAATGTGTCATGTGAGTCACACTAGTGGAAATTCAGGATTTTTTTAAATATTACCTTGTAGAGTTATGAATTTAAAACTTGTATATTATTGAAATATGGATTATTAGCTAAGATTTTATGCTATTTTAATTGGTATAACATAAACATAAAGTAGTTTAATAAAATTTTGAATGTAAGACACTAAAACTTTGTGTCATGCACTAAAGGATACCTGGAGCGATAGGGTTAATATAACTGACTAAAATAGGAAAAATAACACATATGACAGTACTGAGGAGGAAGCAGGCGCTTAACAATGTTGTCATGAATCAGATGATTGCTGGAGACCCAGAATTTCAAAACCACAATTTGTTGGAATTTTTGAGAGAAATAACTCACAACTTACAGCTCTAGTGTACTTATGTTATATAATTTTGCATAGTTCAACATTTTTATTTTATTACAATAGACAAAATTTAACATGAAACCTGTGTTATTTTCTCCTACATAAACAGTTTTAGATAATTCATTCTTCTATGAAATACAAGAAATATGTGTTTTTGTTTTCTTATCTTAATCAGTTATAGTAATGTAGTAAGATATTTTTTATTACTTGTTTTGTGATGTTTTTCCCCTGTTTGAAAGTTAGTGTATCCTTTGAATGTATACAATAAAACTTAATATTCTGTGTATTGATTTTTTTTACTCCTTCACTTCTTACATAATATGGGGTTGGCTCCCTAAAGACACCGATTGTATAGTGTACAAAGCATTGAGTATTCTACATGTTACAGTCATCCAATTTTCATCTATTATTGGCATGGTAATTCCTCTTTCACCCTTAAACTTTTTAAAGGAACACCAAGTTTCTGTAAAAAAATTTACTTCAAGGGGTAATGATAACATTGTTTACACTAGAATTATGATGTTTTTTAAGATTACTACTAGTCATTATGTTGAAATGATGATTTTATGCACATAGAGTGTATTTAGGTTTAAGTGGATATTATGATAAAATAGTTGTAGAGTTATCTCGACTGAAACAAAAAGAAGAAAGATTAACAATATGATGGATTGGTCTGGTTTGCTATCTTAGCATTGGTTTCTTCCCTTGTTTTTAGGCTTGTTGGGTACAGAAACAAATGAAAGTCAGTGGCAAACATCTTTTAAAGTAAAATTCTCTGTCATTGTTTATTTTGTAGCATGCATGTTTGTATTATGCCTATTGATTACCTTGACCATCCCTACATATATATAGTCTACAGACTATAATAATTATTGGAACTAGCAGAAATGCCACCCTATAGGCCACTGTTTGTGCTAGTAATTACTAATTGCAGCATTCATACCTCATTGAAAAAATTAGAAAAAGTTAACATTTTCTAAAACAATTTTTTTTTTTTCTGGGAAGTACTGTACAGGAGAAGTGTTTGGATTGTGCTCTTTAGTCATATAGATCTCATTGCATCAAAATGATTCAATGTACAGAGTTTTGTTTGTGGTACCATTCAGTAGATGGTGCAAGAGTTTTGGTTACATACATAGATACTGACATATATGCTACCAGTGTAGTAAATATATGTATGTATAATATTGTGATTCTTTAGGATCAGCTTCTATGCTCAATTGTTTAATATATATAATTGTAGTAAAGGTATACTTTTACCAGTGTAGTAAATATGTATGTAGATTATTGGTATTCTTTGGCCTCAGTTACCATTCTATGTTGTTTAATTGTATAATGTACGGTATACTTACAGT